CCGAGCCGCACCTGCACGCAGCCGATGGTCGAGTTGTTGGACAGCCTGCATATCCACCGCATGTGGTGTAGTGCTGAACATCGTCCTCTACCGCCGTTGTAGTCGTACCTGAAGCGATTGATGATGAGGAAATTCAGATTGTTTCATACGTACTCCCTCCGTTTCAAAATAAATGATCCAACTTTGTACTAAACTCCCTCCGTTCTAAAATAGATGACTCAACTTTGTACTAAAATTAGTACAAAGTTGGATCATCTATTTTGAAACGGAGGGAGTACGTGGGTAGGCAGTCGGGCGTGGGTTGGGTATCAACTGGGTGGGCTCAAGATGGTGATGGCGCGTCCTTGTTTTCATCTCTGTTCGGCACAAGTTCGTAGCAGAAGAACATGTTGTCATATGAAGTCATATCAGTAAAATGGAATAGGAAAAGACAGACGAGGAAATAATCCTTTAAAATCAACCAGAAAAAAAACAACATCATGCATTTACGTTTAATTACATGTTTGCTGTTTTAGGTATAAACATAGTGTAGTAGTAAAAAAAATGTTCGTTGAGTATTTCAAAACGTTCATCGTTTCTTTGAAAACGTGCATCATGTATTTTCAAAAGACCTTGTGTATTTCAAATCTGTCATATTGTTTTCAAACATATTGCACGGAATTTTTTATATACATTTTTAGTAATGCAAGATGAGCGATCTGTAGTACATGCTGAGCATGTTTCCCTTTTTCATTTTATTCTTTTTATGTTTTCTTGTGTTTTATCCTGTTTCTTTTTATTTCTTAGTTTTCCCTGTTCTAATTTATTTTCTGTTTCTTTCTTAGGAAAATATAAATTGCCCATAACATGATTTTTTGGTACATGTTTAATTTTTTGATAAAGGATGAATATTTTTTAAGTACATGATGAACAGTTTTAACACACAATGTGTATTTTCTGAAATACTAATATACATTTTTAATACACAATGGACATATTTTAAGATGTTGAACATCTTTTAGCAGACAATGAATATTTTAATGAAGAAATGATGAACATTTTCTAAAACACAAAGAACATCTTATTAATGCATGATGTACATTTATAAACAAGTGAAGACTATTTTCTGGAATACATGACGAATATTACTTAATAAGTGATGAACATTTTTAATTACAACATGAAAGTTTTATGAAATAGATGTTGACAATTTTCTAATGCATGATGACTATTTTTTCAAATACCCAATGAATGTATTTAGCACCCAGACATTTTCATAAAAATAGTAAAATAAAAATATTTCTTAAAAATATATTTTTATAAAATTTCAAAATATTAGTTAAAAAGTGAAAGCGAAAAAAACTAATGGTAAAAAAGGATTAAAATAGTACCTAGTCCGCGTCTCAAAAACCTTAGAGGGTGTGCTAGTAGAAAAAATTGATAGTATGATTTTTCTTCATGGGCCGGATCCAACTCATCTACATTCAGGGAGCAACTAGTTGGCGAGCGCTCCTTCGGGAGCCTCCCAACAACCACTTGGGGGTGGGTTGAGAGAGCGCCACTTGGCGCTCTCAGCCACCGCAACGTGTCACGCCCTGGGCGTTCCCTCGGGATTTTTTTTATTTTTTTATTTTTTCACATGTGTTTTCGGCGTTTTAAATGATTTTTCCCATTTTTTTGGCTTTTTGGTTTTTCACCGGTCTTCCTTAGTGTTTGGACCAAAAAAATGAAAAACAAATTGCGCGAAAAAACATGTTTTTTTCTTCTGCGAGAGGCACGGTTTTGCTTTCGCGAGAGGCGCGGCCATGCCTCTCGTAAACGGAAAAAAACATGTTTTCTGTTTTTTTCCTTCCGCGAGAGGCACGGTTTTGCTTCCGTGAGTGGCGCGGTTGTGCTTTCGCGAGAGGCATGACCGCGCCTCTCGGAAACCCCCCAAAAACGTGTTTTCTGTTTTTTTCCTTCCACGAGAGGCACAGTTTTGCTTCCGCGAGACGCACGGTTGTGCTTGAGAGGATCGGACGTGCCTCTTGGAAAATAAAACACGTTTCCTGTTTTTTTTCCTTCGGCGAGAAGCATGATTTTGCTTTTGCGAGTGGCACGGTTGTGCTTTCGCGAGAAGCACGGCCGTGTCTCTCGGAAATGGAAAAAAAGTGTTTTTGTTTTTTTTCTTTCGTGAGAGGCACAGCCATGCCTCTTTCAGAAAGGAAAAAATGTGCTCCCGATGAAGGAAATATGCACTAGAGGCAATAATAATGTTGTTATTTTATATATTTTTATTAATGATAAAGGTTTATTATTTATACTAGAATTGTATTGATCGGAAACTTAAATACAAGTGTGAATACATAAACAAATACCGTGTCCCTAGTAAGCCTCTACTAGACTAGCTCGTTGAGCAAAGATGGTTAAGGTTTTCTAACCATAGACATGTGTTGTCATTTGATAACGGGATCATATCATTAGGAGAATGATGTGATGGACAAGACCCATCTGTTAGCTTAGCATATTGATCGTTCAGTTTATTGCTATTGCTTTCTTGATGACAAATACATGTTCCTTCGACTATGAGATTATGCAACTCCCGAATACCGGGAATACCTTGTGTGCTATCAAATGTCACAACGTAACTGGGTGATCATAAAGATGCTCTACAGGTATCTCCGAAGGTGTTTGAGTTGGCATGAATCGAGATTATGATTTGTCACTCCGAGTATCGGAGAGGTATCTCTGGGCCCTCTCGATAATAAACATCATAAGAAGCCTTACAAGCAAAGTGTCTAAGGAGTTAGTTGCAAGATGATGTATTACGGAATGAGTAAAGAGACTTGCCGGTAACGAGATTGAACTAGGTATGAAGATACCACCGACGTTTGAATATCGTGCAAGTAACATACTGATGGATAAAGCACTAGTAGAAAAAGGGCCTAATGTGAAGCACATTAGTCCCGGTTTGTGGTTGAACCGGCACTAATGCGACCATTAATGCCAGTTCCAACGGCTAGGTGGGCGGTGACCTTTAGTACCGGTTCGTGGCAAACCTCTAGTCACGGTTCGTGCCACGAACCGGGACTAAAGAGGTGGTGGCAGGCTAGTGTCAGGTTGTGTCCCCACAATAACCTTTAGTCCCAGTTCGTGGCACGGACCGGTACTAGAGATTCACCTTTAGTCCCGGTTTGTATAACCAGCCGGGACTAAAGACCATCCTATATAAACCCTTCGTCCAGTCCGAGCTCTCTGTTCTTCCCCTTTCATTCCTTCCTCTCCTCTGTTCTTCCCCTCTTCCTCGAGCTCATCACACATTTTGCCTAAATTTTGTCAAGATTTGAAGGCCCCCATTCATTCAAGTGATCACAAAGGTTAGGAACTTTGTCCTTTCATCTCTCATTGCTAGATTAGCTCTTGCAATGCTCTATATAGTGATTAATTTGTTGGTTTTAATAATTTGGGAGGAATTATATGTGGTAATTTATTTGATTTATATGCAATTTGAGCTCAAAATAACTCTTAGTTTGCATATGTAGGTGTGGTTTACTTAGTGCCATCCCGTCTCCGTCCTAACCACCGTCGATCGCCCGCACCGTCCTGTCGCCGGCACCACCTTGTGGTGAGCCTCTTGTTCATATCTTTTCTATATAAACAAAATCATGTTTTTGTGTGATTTAGATATATAGTTACTTGTATAATTATCTTACTCGTACGTTGTCTGTTATACACAGTGCCATGGTTTTGATATCCGTCCCCGTCGATCCTCGTCCGGTTTATCATTCAGATGTGCTATATTCTCTTTTATAACTATTTGTTGCATTTCGTGTTTATGAAAAATTATGCCCATCAAGTTGACATAGATATTTTTATCTAGGAGGTATGTGAACCGGAAATTCCAACCGACCCTATTGTTGAGAGGTTAAATATAGTTGAAAATGAAAATGAGTATTTGAAAGAAAAATTGAAAAGAATTGAGGATGAGAAGATGGAATTGGAGTTGCATCTTGCCGATGTCATCGATGATCACAAGATCAAGATGGAGAATATGCGCTTGAAGATTAGAAAGATAGAAAATATGCCATTGATAGTGAGGCTTGGTATCATTATGCTGTTGGATCAATTGTTACATTAGTTGCCATCTTGATCGCATTTGTTGTTGCAT